GAGTTTTGGGATATTTAAAACATATCCAAGACTTTACTTTGCACTATAATAAATATCCTGTGGTGATTGAGGGATACTGTGATGAAAATTGGATCACCGGTTAAACTGATTTTAAGTCCACAAGTGGATATGTATTCACTATCGGTGGAGGAGAGGTATCTTGGAAGTCGTCCAAACAAACTTGTATTGCCCGCTCTACAATGGAGGCTGAGTTCATAGCCTTAGATAAAGACGGTGAAGAAGTTGATGGCTTTGGCACCAATATGTATACATTACCACCGTGAACCAGCAATCGGAAGGACTGGCAGCATTATGTATAACAAAATATCTCGTCATATACAATGAAGACATAAAACTGTTAGGAAATTACTCTCTAGGGGAACGATCACAATTGACTACGTGAAGTCAAGCAATAATGTATCAGATCCTCTTACAAAAGGCATAACTAGAGAGGTAGTTGAAATATCATCAAGGAAAATGGGACTGTGGTCGAGAAAAATTCATTGTGGCGGTAAGTCTAATTAGAACACTGAAGATCCCAAGATCTAGCTTCAAGGAGATCAAACAAAGTTATTAATGACGGTTCAACATTGTCAACTAAACATTTTGATCCATTCTCGTGATGAGACAAGTTCAGTACCAAGGATAAAACATTAAGATTTTTTAATGGTTTCTAAATTTGATAAGGGGTATGTCAAATAGTGTATCTACAAGATGATACATTTAGGAATCACCTATGTAAGTGTGAAGTATTACCGCTTCAAGGAAAATTTTGTAAGGTCAATTCTCTACGTACTTATGAAACCAGGTGGTGTTCACAACTGAAATGAACACAAAAATGAAAACCAAAGACGGTTAAGGATTGATTTCGTGACTTATGGTTGTCTGGGTATACACTAAAGTTTGACGGTTCAAAGATATCATATCTACCGATTGACCGAGTATATCCGACATAAGTTGTGAAGCCCCGTAAAGATTTACCTAAAACCCGGGATTTGTGGTGCCCAAGTAGACTTATGTGTCGATGATTGTAGATATTCTTCACGGAGAGCTTTCTCACCGCGGTTAGAACCTTTTGGGTTGAATAGTGTATTGGGAGTTGAAGAAAACTTTAGGAAGTACAAGGCATTTTCTGCGGTCCATTCTGTAGTCGCAGAACTGATATGCCGACCGCAGATCTATCGTAGACTGAAGCTGAAATCTAAGAAAATATTTGGACAATTATATGGTCCATTATGTGGCCGCATAATCATTTTACGTGCCGCATAACCAATCGCAGACCCAACATGAAAATATTTGGAGGGAAGTTCTACAACGTATTATACAACCGCAAAATAGGTTTGGGGACCGCAGGCCGGTCCCCGAGTGAGGCAGGGGTGCCTAGTTCTGGAGGGACAATATGCAGCCCAATTTACGGACCGCAGAATCGTTATGCGGGCACATATGTGATCGCAGATCTGCATCGGGGCTTCATTGTTTCTAATTTTTGAACCTGACCACATTCTTATAAAACAGTCTTAGGGATCATTTTAGAAGGAAAATCTTATATTTCTAGAGAGAGAGAGAGAGAGTGCCATAGAGTGAGAGGGGAAGTTCTTAAGATCATCATTCATCAATTCTTGCTCAAAGTTGAAGAATTTACAAGGAGGACTCACTAGGTCTTCATCTTAGAGGTAAGATCTACTCTCTAGCCTTCAATTCCTGGATTTAATTGGAAATAGGTAATGCATAAAGCAATTCTTGGGGGTGGAAGTTGTTCATTATGCATGCATGTACCATCAAGGGTAGTGGGAAGATTGTTGAGCTCATTTGGGTAAACGTTGGGTAGTGGGATGAAAGAATCCACCATAGGAGGACCTTGAAACCTTAATGCACACCTAGTGTTTGATAAAATGCTTAAGTGAGCTGGAACTTTGAACTCCTTCCTAATTTATGTTCAATTTTTCTATATCTCTAAATATATCGAAGTGGCTAAGATTAGCTGATCATTGTAGTAATTTAAAAAGCTCGAGGCGAGGTATGTTGGCTAAACTTCTCTCTTAGTATTGAATTCCCACGATGTTCTTGTAAGTCCCCAGTTNATGTATTAAAATGTTGTGACTTCAAGTCAAGCCCAAATGAAAGTGATCATATCAAATTGTGTAAACAATCACATGTTCCTAAGACCCTAAATCTCTCAGATGGGTGCTTAAATTATTGAATAAATATGTTTGTTGTTGACAATCCGTGATGATGTTTGAAACTGAAATAGTGAGCATGAATTATGAAGTACGGCCAACGTGCCAAGAATAACATTGCGTTATGGCCAATGGTTCCAACAAAATGAATGACATGTAAAATAGTATGAACTGAGTGGTAAATCTGTTTAATAATAAGTGCTTTGGGAGTATCGATTAGCCACCGAAGAAGGGTTGGTCAAAATAACCTAACCCCAAAATTACATGTACCGGTGTAGGAGTTCTTAAGGGATAAGTCCCCGGGCTAATGTGACGAGATTGTTTCCCCTTATATGGGATGAGATTTATGTGTTGACCTGTTTCCTCTTATATAGGATGAGATTATTGCTAGCGAGATGTGATGTGATGTCGACCAACACGGCATTGCGGCGAGACGACTTAGCCAATCGGGCTAGGATCAGACGCCATGTCGTGCACATGGTGGTATTGTGAGTGGATGTCTCGGGGTGAGATGGCTTAGCCGGTTGGGCTGATATCAGACTCCGTGTTAAAATACGGTGGTGTATTAGTGCTAAATATCTCCCAACTTAAAAAGATTAGAACTTACTTGAAATTTTCCTTTCCCCTAACTTGACACCTTGATACTATTTGATTCTCTTCTTGATTTCCTGTTTCCTTATCCGTTTGTTGTTACTCGTTCTATTGTGAGGGTGTTTAGTTTTACAAACTAGTACTATTTCATATGTACTAATGTCCCTTTTGACGGGGGAGATAAATCTTTAATGGATACAGGTGGTTCCATAGCAGGTGGTATTGATCAGTGATAGCAACACAACCTCTCCTCAGCTGACTTAGTGAGCCCCACTTCATTCCGGGGTCCTTTATCTCTTGTTCCATGTACATAGTGTTTTGAGGTATAGCTGGGGACTTTTTGTCAGCACTATCGTAGCACTCTTTTATTTCTGTTAGAGGTTCCGTAGACATAGTGTGGGTTGTGTCTTGTTTTGGGAAGGTTGTACTAAACTTGTTGTAATAGTATCATTTATTCCACTTTAAATACGAATGTATAGTGTACTGTTTTGGGGACTTGTTAATGACGTAACTAATGGAAGTGAACTGGTGTTATTTACACTACCTCTTAATGTTTAATTAAGGTACAGGCTTTCTCGGGCGAGTTGGGTAGAAGGTATTGTACAGGCTTTCTCGGTCGAGGTATCTCGGTTGAGCGCCGGTCGCGCTCCCCATAGTCGGGGGGTGACATAAGTTCACTACGGAAAGTTAAAAGTGAAACCTACTTATCTAGATGTGATTAATCCTGGATTGCGATTCACACAGCTTTTCATGCATATTTCCGTTGTATAGCCATTCATGTGGGGGTATTGTTGGATTTTTAGTTCAAAAATTGAGGTGAATGGGAAATGGAGGGAAAAATAAAATTTTGATTTTCCTGCCTTTACAAAGGAACATTATCCCATATTGGAGGACGAAAACTCATGTGTTGGGCATATATATAGTTGTACTTCTTCTAACTCTTAAAGAGTTGAGAAGAAGTCAAGTCTCATGGCGTCGTCGTTGTCGCTCACTCGGCTCGGCTACGACTTTGGATTTGGTCAAATGATTTTATTGATTAATTAATTTTTTGGACAAAAGTTATTTGTTCAATAGTTAAGTTAAATTAGTAATTTTAATCGACATCAAACATTTCTGTAGCGGTAATTTGAATTTTCTCCATTTTGATTTTCCTGCTTTATTTTGCGCAAATAGCCATTTACGTAACAACCATTTTACGCGAAAAGTCATCTGAAAGAGTTGAACCTATTCATTCGAACCCAACCTATTAGCTATAAATACCAGGCCATTCCCTCAGATTTTTATTACGAAAATTCTAAAATCTCTTCTTCCTTTCTGCATTAGTTTCTTACAAAAAAAAACAAAGTTAGTGTGATTCACTGCCGCCATTTGTGTTCGCTATACATTGGGGTTTAAAGTACCGCTACACCAGTGTGTAATCTGTTCTATCCTATGTGAAAATAATTCAAAACTTTGAGTACCCGAAAGGGATTAAGTTCCTTAAGAAAATACTGTAAATTCAGTGGGCTCGGATTAATTTCTACTTCTTCTACATTTCTACTTTTTGTTGTTTTTGTTTCCAAAATATTTTTTACAAATACAGATTACTCACAAGCTTAAGGAACTTAAATTTATATTCTGTATTTATGTTGTATACACTGTTCTGGAGACTACAACGTGTATGCTTTTTTATTCCCTGTTTGGAGATTATAACCTTCGTGGTTTTCTACTCCATCTTTATATTTTAAATATATTATGTTTTGTTTATTATTTTCATTAGAGATTAAAATCCTAGCGATTTTCTACTCCATTGGAGATTAAAATCTATGTGATTTTCTACTCCAGTTTTATTCGGTTCGAAGATATAAAAACTTCACTGTATATTAAAGATTTGTTTGTGTCATTTATTTTTATAGAAATGATGACTGAGAACGGAAACCTATCTATTCCAGTGGTGACTGCCAATGCATCGACAAGCCGAACAACACCTGCACCGGCATTGGCATCGGCACCAGCAGAAAAGCCTGAAAACTATTTCGGGATTGATTTCAAGCACTGGCGACAAAAGATATTTTTCTATTTGACTACCCTTAGCCTACATAGGTTTATTAAGGAAGATGTTCCATTCGTGCTAGAAGGAACTTTGGATAATGAACGCTTCTTTGTGACGGAGGCATGAAAGCATTCTAAAATTTTGTACAAGAATTATATTCTTAGCGGACTGGAGATGATCTGTATAACATCTATAGTAATATGAAGACGTCGAAAGAACTGTGGCCTGTATTTGAAAACAAATACAAAACTAAAGATGCCAGGTTGAATAAGTTTGTTGCCGCAAAATTTTTGGACTATAAAATGGTCGATGGCAAGTCCGTTATTACCCAAGTCCAAGAATTACAAGTAATTATTCATGATCTCCTGGCTGAAGGTATGATTAGAATTAATACCTTTTTGAAAGTATTAATTATATTATTAATAATACATTTTTCATTAAAGGTTTGTTCATCAATGAAGCATTCCAGGTTTCAGCTTTGATTGAGAAGTTGCCTCCTTTGTGGAAGGACTTCAAAAATTACTTGAAATACAAGCACAAGGAGATGTCGCTCGAAGATCTCATTGTTCGGTTGAGGATCAAAGAGGAATACAATGTTGCTGAAAAGAAGGTTCGTGGAAACTCAATAATAATGGGAGCAAACATTATTGAGGATGCTCCAAAAAATACTAAAAAGAGAAAGAAGCCTTCAGGACCAAACGTTAACCCAAGTAAGAAGAGGTTCAATGGAAATTGGTATAACTACGGGAAAGTTGAATACAAGTCTGTAGATTATCGTGCTCGAAAGAAAGACAAGAAGAAGGGTCAAGCAAACATGGTTAAAAAGAACGAGGATATTTATGACTTGTGTGCTATGATTTTTGAATGCAAATTGGTAGAAATTCTCATGGAATGGTGGATTGATTATGGAGCTACTCGCCATGTTTGTGTTGTTAGTGAAGCGTTTGCTACATATGCTACCGCTGGACTCGAAAAGACGCTTTCTATGCGAAATTCTGCAACAACCAAGATTGAAGGATGTGGAAAGATATTTCTGAAATTGACTTCTTGCAAGATGGTGACTCTGAACAACGTCCTTCATGTTCTTGGAACAAGGAAGAATTTAGTCTCTATGCACTTCTCGTCAAGAATGGGTTTAAGTGTGTTTTTAATCTATTAAGGTTGTAATAAGTAAGAATGAAATATTTGTAGGAAAATGTTACCTTATGTTGATACTCAATTTTGCCGTCGTGTTTATCATATATTTTTAAGTGTTTTAAATAATATTTGTAGAAATATTTTCCTACACTACTATCCCATGATATGTTTTAATTTTCAATATTTTACACTTTTATCAAATTACTATTATGGAAATTTTTCACAAATAATTTTATTCCATTTTCTGTTGGCTTTTTAAATTGATTTTAGAATTTTGATTGGTAAGTATATATTTATTATTCCTTTAAAACTATTTTTGAATTATTAATTGTCCAAATTAATCATCTACATTTTATGCATATTTTATAGTGTTTTACGTAATTTTTATACAATTATATTTGAATTTTTACACTATTTACAATAATAGCCTATATTTTACAAATACTTGCATTTATTGCATTATTTAGGTCAAAATAGCATTTTTTTTATATTTTACAATTTTCAGCCATTATTTTAAAGTATTAATTTGCATAAATAATATTTTTATATATTTATAAGCTTTTTTATTAATTTTATTCCTTTTATTTTTGCATGTTTTAATTCTTGCCCAAAATAAACCAAAACTTCGGACCTAAATGGTCCTAACACTAGGCCCAACTACCCCACACCCAAAACCAAATGACCCCTTGTCAAAAACCAGTCGGGACCCGTATCCTGACCTGCCCCATCTCCTTTAAATCCTGGTCATTGATCACAAATGATCAACATCCCACAACAACCCCTCCTCTATTTTTAATTACCCAACCCCCAAACCCTAATCCTTATTCACCCTCACTAGCCGCTCCTACATGCTCTCAACTCATCCCCTCTCTTCTGTAAAACCCTAGCCCCTTCACCACTCAACCCTTCTCCGATTCCGACTAGGAAATGGAATGACTCCACAATTCACTTACCATATTCGTATTACCTCACTATTATTCATGCGTTTGGGGTATTACTTAAGTACTTGCCCAATTTTGGCAAGTACTATCTCTCAAGATCGGACCAGAACAATGTCAATCTGTGGGATTTGGACAATATTTCGTATATATACATGTGAATGGGGACGATTCTTGCATTCACCCGCCGATTTGCAATCAAGAAACACTAATTAGGGTATGAAAATCAATTTCTTTCCTTTGCTGTGTGTTTTACTGTTGGCATACAATTTTCTTTTTCCTGTTTGTATATGTTTGATTCCTTCCCTTATTTGGTCGCCTAAATAGAATACTATATAAACCCCCCACCAATTCCTTTAAAAGGGACCAGAATGACAGCTCTCTCTTTCACTCACTTGTTCTATGGTGGTCCAATTCTCTGAAATTATTGTGTCTGGCTGAATGCCAAGGCCATCGTGATTGGTTCATTATCCTCATCCAGTGCAAGCAATGCTCAGAGCTCTTTTGAGGCTCTTGTGAACTCTGATGCACCAGATTTGAGGTTCTCATTGTTCTTTTTTGACTGTTGCTATTCTATCCATTTCTAAAGCTCTAATCTTTCTCATCTCTTTGATCGGTTAACTTGCAACTGGTTAGTATTCTTGACTCTCACAATTTCTATTCCCCTTTATACGTATGTGTGTTTTGTGTGCCAGTATCATCTGAACTTTTATGAATAAGCTTGATTTAGTCTCCCCAACAATTTGAACACTAATATTGTGTTATCGTTGTATGCTTTACTGTAATTATATTGTCCTAAAGATGTTTTGCAGTTCCATGCCTGCTAGTCTTAATTCAGGCTATGTCTAAGACTTTTAAGACAAGCCTCAACACATGTAGTTTATTCTCATCGTGTGCAATAGACTTGAATGATTTCTAAAATGGGTGTTTTCCATCTAGTTGATATGTTGTGATCATGTTGGCCCTGAATCGGTTTTTCTGTCTGTTATGCCTCCAGTATTGAGATAATGATTATGCCTTGCCTTAGATTTCTATGCTGAAACTTTCTTGTGGAAACTAATAACTGCTCAGAATTTGAACATGTTTTATTTTAGGAGTTTCATGCTAAGTCCTTCATGTGTTCATTTCTACTTATCAGAATTAGTCCTTAACTATATCCATCCTAGATTTTTTTATGCTGAATTGTTATCTATATGAGTTTTTATTTGGAATTTCATCATGACCTGTTTACCTTGAGTTTCATGCTAAATTTTTCAATAGGGGTTTATGTTTGACTATAGTATTAGTATTGACCATGTCTTCCCCTAGACGTTTATGCTAAGTCTTCCATGTATAAACTTCTACTTAGTTATCACATCAAAATTTAGTTCTGGATCATGTTTTTCTTGAACCCTTGTTTGTTACTCTTTGTGATTAAGTGCTGACTATTCTACGGTGTACATCCCTGTGGTGTTGTCACTTTGTATCATTCGATAAATCTAGAAAGCCGTCGTATGTGTATGAATCTCTATGTTCTGCATGTTGTATATGCCTGTAGGAATCCTTATATGGTTCTTAATGTGTCCTAATTAGGGTTTGAAAATTGATTTCTTTCCTTTGCCGAGCGTTTTACTATTTATATGCGATTTTTTCCCTTGTTTGTATCTGTTTGATTACTTTCTTTATTTGATCGCCTAAATCAAATACTATATAAACCCCTCCCCAATTCCCCTAAAAGGGACTGGAATGACGGCTGTCTCTTTCACTCACTATTCGCTTCCTCTGGTGATCTAGTTCTCCAAGGCCATCGTGATTGGCTCATTAGCCTCCTCTGGTGCAAGCAATGTTTGAAGCTCTTTCGAGGCTCTTGTGAACTCTAAAGCACCGGATTTAGGGTTCCCACTATTCGCTTTTGACTGTTTCTATTTGAGCCATTGTTGAAGCTCTAATCTTTCTCATCTCTTTACTCGTTTAACTTGAAACCGGTAAGGGTTCTTGACTTTCACGATTTTATTCCCTTTCTACTTATGTGTGTTATGTGTGCTAGTTTCATCTGAATTTTTATGAACAAGCATAATTTAGCCTCACCTGCAATTTGAACTCTAATATTATGCTATCGTTGTATGCTTTACTATAATTATATTTTCCTAATTATGTTTTGTAGTTCCATGCTCATTAGTCTCAAATCTGCCTAAGTCTAAGACTTTTAAGACATGCCTCAACACATGTAGTTTATTTTCACCGTCTGCAATAGACTTGAATGATTTATGAATTAAGTATTTGCCAACAAGTTAATATGATGTGATCATGTTGGCCATGAATTGGTAATTCTTCCTGTTATGTCTCCAGGATTGAGTTCATGATTATGCCTTGCCTTAGATTTCTATGTTGAAACTTTCTTGTGGAAACTAATATCTGCTCAAAATTTGAACATGTTTTTTAGAAGTTTCATGCTAAGTCCTTCATGTATGCATTTCTACTTATCAGAATTAGTCCTTAACTATACCATCCTAGATTTTTTATGATGAATCTTTATCTACAGGAGTTGCTATTTTGAATTGCATCGTGACCTGTTTACCTTGGGTATCATGCTAAATTTCTTTGTAGGAGTTTTTGTTTGACTATAGATTCAGTATTGAACATGTCTTCCCCTAGATTTTCATGCTAAGTCTTCCAAATATAAACTTCCACTTAGTTATCACATCAAAATCAGTTTTGGATCATGTTTGCCTTGAATCCCTATTTGTTACTCTATTGTGATTAAGTCCTGACTATTCTATGGTGTTCATCCCTGTGATGTTGTCACTTTGAATCATTTGATAAATTTGGAAAGCCATCGTATGTGTGTGAACCTATGTCTTTTGCATACTATAAATGCATGTAGGAATCCTTATGTCGCTCTCAAAATGTGTCCATGTTTATGTGTCTTTGGGTTGTTTATTTAGAAACTCCTACTCTTGTTAGTTGTAATGTTAAGAACAAGATGTGTGTATGCTCCTGCCAAGAACTTGAAATTATCTGGATGATTTGGTTTACATGGTTTGTCATTTGTGTCTTTGTGCTCTCATTAGATGTTAATGATAACGGGTGAACAAGGCTATTGTTTTTGTTGTTTGGGCATGGACTGGTGGGCCAGGTTTTGGTATTGGAAAGTATATTGTCGGCACCTAGAGTATGGTCTTGCTCGTCCACATATAGTTCTAAGTACATGTGAAGGCCTAGATATGCTACTGGGTTTTTCTTATCTGTAATTGAACCTCTAATTGTTTTCACTTGGGTATGTAATAAATTGTAAAGAAAATGATGGAGAAATTAGTTAAAAGGGGCTGGGGTATTTTAATTTTTACTTAAACGAGTAGAAAGCATGCCTATAGGGTCCAACTAATCTTACTTGCTACTTGTTTGCCATGTTCTATTTCTGTGCATTACTTGCTAATAGACAGCATGTCTGCAGGACGCTCAACTTGGCATGCTCGCTTAGAAATCATGATTTAACACTCTGAGTACTGTTAATCCAATACTTCCGATATGACTTATAACTTGTTTAAAAGACATGCCTATAAGTCAAACTTTGTGTTCACTTGTTTGAGTATTTACTCTTCCGCTTAGAAATCATGTATTAGGATATAACACTTTGTTATCATGCCTATAGGACTCTATGACAAACAATTGAAACTACTTGTGCTAATATGTTTTTCCACTGTGTTCTCTATACTTATCCACCTAGAGATCATGACTATAGGGTCCGTAAATGAGAATTCGCATCACTCAACTGCTGATTTGCCTAAAATCAGTCTAAACGCGATCGTCTAGAAATATTGCCTATAGGACTTAACAATTAAATCTGTTTGTTAATTACTTTGAAATGTAACTGTTCATCTTATAAGAGCATTTCGCTTGTCCATTTTGCTACTGCCTCTCGCTGTTGTTTGACAATTACTCGACGTGCATATGAATCTATGTGTGGAGGTAAACATGATCCCCTTTGTGCTAATTGTTGCCTTATATGAAGTCCTATTTGTTTCTATTTTGTGATGCCTAGTCTTTTAATTTTGAGCAGCCTAGGATGAGTCAAGAACCACCTATATAGAGGTCCAATGCCTCCTGGACCCTAAGCATGGTACATGTAGGCACAAGTAGGGTACGACCTAGAATTGAATTAGTGCACTTTAGGTTAACAACATAAAGATAGTAATCGGATAACTGGAGATGATAGTCTCTGCTCGCTGGATAATATGAGCAACCATTGCACTCATAAGGGTTGCGAAGTATTATTTATATTGCACGGGGTGATCCTTTAGGCTTAAAATTTAAGACCCCCCTCCTCCCATTGTGTCTAATTGTTCCTTGTATATTTTGTTTGTTGGAAGCTAGATTTAACTAAGTTATACCTTGTAGGCTCCAAATAGTTGTACAATTTAGTTTATAAATAAAGTATCTTCTTCTGAATTATTCTTTTTGCATTATTTGTGTGTTATTTCTTCGATTATTTATTTCACTTAGAATAACCAATCGCTTACCCAAAACATTGCTCCTTTAGTTTAATAATAAACTCATTTGCATGCTCACTTAGAATAACTAGCTATAATTCGATAACTTCCACATAATATAGAATTCGGCAGGGAACCACAGTTGTGGAACTCGAAGCGTGCCTAAAACCTTCTCTTTGAGGTAATTTGAGCTCTTGCTCGATCTTTGGTGACGTTGACTAGCTAAAACATAGTTATTTTCAAATAGGTGCCCTAACACACCTTAAATCATTAGGTGTCGACTCTTCTCTTTTAATACTCGTTTAAAAGAGTTGTCACTTGTCAAAACCAACTTTCGTTAGAAAACAGGGTTCGACAGCATGGCGACTCTGTTCGGGATATACTTAGGCTTTTACCATGACAAATTTTTGCATGTGTAGGATTATTTATTAGATTGCTCTATTTGGTTTCTTTCATGTACCTCTATTTCCCTGTCCCTTTATTTGCTCGAAATTACTACACCATGAATCTCCCTTTTCACCTCTCCTCTATTTGCTTTATTGATTTAATTATGCTTTTCAAATTTGGTGAACCATGCTAACCATTTCCCTTGTCTTTTATTTTCCCTTTCATGCTTATTTTTATCGTATTATTTAATACTATTTTTATATGTTTTTTCTATGGAAAATTACTTGACTATATGTTATCGTTTTTTGAACATCATATTCCACTCATGCCTATTATCAACATAGTGGCACTTGATGAGTGTCCGCGCTATCCGAAAATACCCTTGTCAAATCGAAAAGGCTAATTAGCAGTAGACTAATCGATCATTGGTGCAGTCGACGGTCTGGTCCCTTTCCCTCTCAAGTCATCCGCTTGAGAGTACCGGTCTAGACCCTTTAGAAACCTACTCAGTTTAAAAATATGCATGTATCATGTAAAACCTAGGATGGATTAAATACCCATGGCGTATTAAATCCGTTTAGATAAACCTTATCCAAAGCCCAAAGGGATCTATACAATCTCGAGAGACACATTCATACTATGTGCATTACTTGGAGAAAATGTGCCATGTGTTGACTATTATCACTTAATCAACCAAATAAGGAGGGAGAAGGGCTAACTCTTTTTCTTCAATGCAGAAAATGAAGCACGACTATCACGAACCAAAACCCCAACCCATCATGATGGCGCCTAACACACTTGCTAGGTAAGCCGGCAATCATAAAACAACTAAACATTTGAGTAAAAAATGTTTCAATAAGCTCAACAACGGAAAATCTCATAAACATCTAATAAAAATAACTGAAATGCTACTACAACCACCCTAATATCTGGTGTCAACGAGTACATGAGCACTACTAAATATCAACATTAATCAAAAACTCTAGTACAACT